ACTTTAGCATTTAATGAGAAGAAACATATATGCATATCAATACAATACGTAAATTTTTCATCATTAAAAATATCAGACCAAAGAATGATAGAAGTCCTGAAAATATTTAATTTCAATATTTGCATGATATTCTGTTTATTCTTTTTTCTAACTGCTAAACGAGTTGATATATTCTTTCTATGTAAGAAAATCTGTAATTTAAACCTATTCAGCCCGTGAAATCTATCAATTTAGTCATAAAATGTTGAGTTTATCTCTTTTTCAATCTGAAATTAAAAAACAATCAAGTAACGCTGCTTTTTCTTTTTTTCTAATTCCATGCAAATTGTTTTTTTTAAATTTAACAATTTAATGAAAAATTTTTTACATTCTTGATAAAAAACGCGTTAGAATATTGATGTCAATGAAATTCCAGGATGTTTTCTCATTAAAATGAAATTAAAGCGAAATATATGTAATTCGTGATACTTCGTTACCATAAATATTTTAACGCATCTTCATGATCAGAAAGGTGACATCTTTTTTTGTTAAATCGTTAAGGAAATTTTACATAGGAGACAGCGAGTAAAATAATCTTTTTTTTTTAAAGAAATAGTTTTTTTAAGTTCAATATTTCCATCTATAGAAACTCGATTACAAGATATTGGCTTTATGTCTTTCGAATCCAAAGTTTATTGACTTGATCTTTTCATTAAAAAAAGCGATAATTTAAATATATTAGTTTTGATGAATCTATTAGATGAGTTATATGATTTTCCTTCTAATATTTTAAAATGTGATATCATATGTCATATTTATATGGACACTTTTTCGAATTATCAAATAAAATTGGCCGTTTTTCCAGGAAAAATGGTTTTATAGCTTGTAATCGTATCTATTTTGTGTTCCTTGTAAAATAATAATGTAATATTTAGTTAACTGTTATTACACACGAAAAAATGACTATAGTGCGAACATGTTTCCTTTATCAAGTTTCCAAAAACGAAAATGTAATATTTTTATTGTTTAGTTTTTCAAGTGCAAAAAACAAAATAATCGTTTTTTTCACGAGAAAGCGACTTTTTAATGAGAATATTCCTTCTTAAAACCTATAGAATGAATTGTATCACATGTAATGTTTTTTTTTGGACATATAGTAACAAGGTGCACCAAATTATTATCTACAATAAGGAGGACCATTAGATTATTACTGATAACAGGATGACGAATATTTCAATGGATCAAGTGAGCATCATCATCGTACCCAATAATGATAGGTTTTCTATTTTATTTTTACCACCTTGAATATTCTACCACAAACCTTCCTTCAAAATAAAAAAGGAGTAACATGGTTTGTGCAAGATAGGGTGGGTGTGGGTGGGCGAGGGTGGGGCGGGTGTGTGTGAGTGTGGGTGTGGATGTCGGTGTGGGGTGTGGGTGTAGGTGGGGTGTGGGTGTAGGTGGGGTGTGGGGTGGGTGTGGATGTCGGTGTGGGGTGTGAGTGTGGGTGCGGGTGTAGGTGGGGTGTGGATGGGTGTGGGGTGGGTGTGGGGTGTGCGCGTGGGTTCTAATTCTCCCTTTACTCACACCCACACCCCACACCCACACCCACACCCACAAATGTTCAAATTTACTGTTGTTTCGTTCAACTTTCTGATCGACGTACATTTAGAGAAATCTAAAACTGACGAGGGAACCCCACCAACTGATTAAAAGCTTTAAGACTCATATTTACGTCATAAGTAGTGCTTAGTGAGACTAGATGAATCCTAAAAGGATTCCCTTGAATGAGCCTATTTGGCTAAAGAGGGAAGGTCCCCAAGTGTGAAATCTACACTGTAAAAAGGTTAAAGATCAAAGGTCATTGAGCGGAGTTTATCATGGTCAAGAGAATTCTAGAGCTTTCTAAGACGTTGTGAAGTCTTTTACAGAGTACGTACGGACTATAGAAGATTCCACAACGTCTTAGAAAGTTCTAGAATTCTCTTGACCATGATAAACTCAACTCAATGACCTTTGATCTTTAACCTTTTTACAGTGTAGATTTCACACTTGAGAACCTTCCCTCTTCAGTCAAATAGGCCCATTCAAGGAAATCCTTTTAGGATTCATCTAATCTTACTAAGCGCTACTTATGGCGTAAATATGAGCCTTAAAGCTTTTAATCAGTTGGTGGGGTTCCCTCGTAAGTCTAGGAAGATGTAGAGTTCGCGAGTAGTATTACATACAAATTGAACGACGATCAGGAAGATGTAGAGTGCGCGAGTTGTATTCAATGCAAATTGAACTAAGCTTAGGAAGATGTAGAGTTCGCGAGTTGTATTCAATGCAAATTGAACTAAGCTTAGGAAGATGTAAAGTTCGCAAGCTGTATTAAGTGCAAATTAATCTAAATTTAGGAAAATGTAGAGTGCGCGAGTTATATTTAATGGAAATTAAACTAAGTTTGGGAAGATATAGAGTTCGCTAATATATTCCACCGACGTTGAACTGATTGTAACCAGCCTAACCAAAAAAGAAAGGAAAAAGAAAGAGAGGATGTTCTTTATAATCAGGCATCAATTCTCATCGATACTTAACTGCTTCCCTTCGAATACAGTACGGTTCATAGATAATATGCAAACAATATACAGTAGTCGCCATAAGTGGCCGCGAGCTCTTTTTCTTCTCCAACAATGACTTTTATTTCATCTTTTTGCTTTGTTTGGACGGGCTAGTTGGGCTCATCATCCGGTATAAATAGGAACATTTATATTCATTCTGTTATCAATTTATAACTCAATAGAAAATGAGCCTTTTTTTAAAGAAAAGACAAGAAATTATCTTTCTATAAAGGCAAAGCTATTCCTCACATATGTCAAATGGTAATATTCCACAGTATCTATACGAATCAGTAAGTAATTGTAAAATGTAGGCTTAGAAGGTATGAAATAGCTGGTGACGTATAAGTTGTACAAAAACCCGGTCTATACAGGAAAAACAATACACAACAATTCAATCCATGGTAGCTCAACATTCAATAGAATCTGTCGGTCTAATTGCGTTTAGATTATCACAAAAAGATATAAAAATTAGTAAAACCACATTAAGAAGAAGATTTAAAGAGACCGATGTACATTCAATGAGACCGATCTCGAAACCATTGCTAACAAGTGACGATGTTTTAAAAAAGACCCCAGCAGGATATAAAACTGAAAGACTTTAACCCAACTGAAGATGTCTAGGCATTAGTGGAGCTCAGAATAAAAAAAGAACCGTATATATCGATCAATAATTTCATTGAGAGAATAAAAAAAAGAATGGAAAAACTTAGCTATTGAATTTGTTGAAAAATTAGGCGATTCTATGGAAAATAGAGTAGCATTGTTAATTGAAAGAAAAAGCCATTATATTAATTATGAGGATGATGCACATATAATGTAAGTTTCATAAATAAAATATGACCAAATAACTCCTTTGTCTTCCTCGTTTTTTCAATCGCGCCCACTTATGGCGATTACTGTAGATGACGTTCTTTTGTTTAATCGAGTTCTATTGCATTCAACAAACTAACAAAAGACTTTAATTTATGTCTTCTCATAATGTAATAGCAACGATATTCACTCGACAATTAATACTCAATAAATATGTTAGTTTGTCTGTTTTTAAAAATAGTTCATTCTCAAAAGAGATACAATTTTCCCATATGCATTGCTTTAAGTAACAACGAAGAGAACGATTTTCAGTAGTTGCTTAGTTCTAGTTTTCAGATATTGTGTTTAATGGCTATTCAATCTCGCAGAACTACTTCTACATCTTCATAGCTATTTACATACTTATCACCTATTCCATTCACATTACTGATTTTTTTTTCGAGCAGAGGATAGTGCAGACGCTTATAGATTGCCACAAATCTGCTAGATAAGTATTTCTCTTATCCAAGATAACGGTCATTGGTCGTTATACGTCGCTTGTATGACATCTTCCTGAACTTCTGACCTTCTTTTTTTGTTTCATCATGTGTGACTATTTCTAGATTAGTTGAATTTAATGAAGAGAAGACACAGTTTTGATTGTACAAGACGACATTATGCTAAAAAAGACATCGATACTCAATTCTACAGTTCACCACACACAGTAGGATTTTAAGATATTACTGTAAAAATAATGCAACTAGTTATAAAGTCTTGTTAGCAATTTATTTCACGTTATCGATCATATTTGTCGTGAGGTATTTTTATGATTTATTTATAAATCTGTGGATAAAAAGGCACTGGAGACGAAGCAGAATCTTGTGTTGGATTACTTCCAAAGGGTATGAATCGGTGAGAAATGAATATAATAAGTTTATTTAATTAAAAAACTAAGTGCGCTCGGTTTTCTTAATCGAAAAGAAAACTTGAATTCATTTTCATATGTAAGAAAATAATTTCTTCATTTCGCACCTAACTACAAATCAATTTTACCTAGGACATACTTTTAGATATGATACATTTAGGAATAAATTTAATTGAAATAGGTAGAGTTACGCAATATCAAAGATTATTTGTTATTAAACAAATTGCATCAAATATCATATCAATTAATGACTTCTGTACATAGATTTATTCAAAAATACTTTTTCAAAAGTAAAATCATTAAATATCTTTTCTTCATAATTCAACAGATTAATAATAAAATTCAATGATGTTTTACAACTCTTTTCTCATCTTCAAGAAATTTTATTTCATAAGTTTGAACGATAAATAAACACACAAATAAAAATGAATCTTTATATAATAGAAAGACTTTAATATCGCAGAAAGCAAAAAAAAGAAAAAGAAATTCATCCATTTAATTTATTGAACAATAACATATGTTGCTGCTGTTGCTACACCACAATTATTATTTCTACGAGACATCAATACATAACCATCATTACCCCAATAAGTTGACCAAGAATTTTTAACAAGCCAATAATCATCACCATTTAATGTACCATAACCAACAGCAAGTACTGCATGATCTAAAGCATCAGGTGTATTACCTAAAAGAAATACAAAAAAGTTCATATTCAAGATACACCAAGAAAAAAAAAACAACTTACCACAATCGGGATCATAAAAGACTAAAATAAAAATAAAAATGAA